TAGGTCATGGAAGCAACAACGCCATGGTGTGGTGGTGCCCTAGGCAGTGTCCTGCTTTACTTTTCCTACCGCTGAGTTGATGTTGATTCCCATCTGCAACGGGGTGTTCTGGTTAGGGTCTGCTCCTGTATAGAGCTTGTGTGCAGAACACCCATTGGATTCAACAGAAGTCTGCAAAAAGATCTGTCCTGTTCCTCTGAGGTTTTTTAGGTTAGGACCTTGCCTATTTTATCCATAAAATGTTATGAGATCTATAAATTATTATAATCAACTTCTAGCAAAATACTGCCTGGAATGTCTTGAGAGCTATAGTGAAATTGAACATATGCCTGAAAAAGGGGAACACACTCAGATTTACAGTCTTTGACTGTTTTCAAATTCTTACTATGTTTCAGGAAAGGAAAATGAGAGTAATTCACTTAAAATGCTGGCCATAAAGAAAGGCAAATGGCAGTAATACACTTAGAATTCTAGCCCTCTGAAGATTTTTTTCAATTGCTGTATAGCAATAGTGTACACAGCTGCATAACTGTTCTGGTCTAATAAGCATTTAAGGGTTAAAAATGTACTTCAGTTCAAAGCTGACCTGAAAATTCTAGAAAGCTGGCTAGAAATCCTAGCTACAGAAAAAAGTAACCATCTGCTGTTGAGAACACCTTGGGTTTTGAGTTCTTGCAGACCTCTAGATTACCATGTTGGGTTTTTTTCTACCATGCCCCTATTCAAGGTGTAGGTCCTCCCTCTCGGGAATCTTTATAGATGGGGTGAATTTGGTTCATCAGTCCCCAGATCATGCCTACATTAGTGAACTCCATGATTTGCAGAGAGAAAATTTATTTCCATTGACACCGGAGTAGTGTGTTAATATAAACATACCTTACTAAGTTATTCCCAGAGTATTACTGCTGTTTGCCTCAGAAGACACCACCTACATATTTGACCTTATTAATGGAAAGCGATCACAATGGCTGTTTCAAATGACAGTGGCTTCAGAGAATGAAAGGGGGGGAACCTTGACCTCCTGTAGACCCAGTGAGCAGTGGCCCAGTGCAGCCACATAAATGCACACATAGAGATATAAAATCTTTAGTGGATTTATCTGTGAAATACTTGAACATTGGATTCTTAGTATAGATCTTGGGCATTTTATCAAATATAATACAGTTAAGTAGCTTGGATGAGCAGTGTATGAGCTTATGTGAGCAGTGAAGACATGCAGTGATTTTGCTGTCTCAAAGGATTGCTATATATCAACGTCACTTTACTTTGGTCTGAATGCAGGAGGAAAAAAGTTGCCAGCTGAGAAGACACCACATCAGAATTCTTCATTTGTAAGCCTGCAGAGTAGTATGTTTTCCCAGAAGAAAAATGCAGTGGCTCAGCGAATATCATCAGCAAGACTTCACAAAATTAAAGAGCTGAAGAATGAAATATTTGATTTACAACACCAATTAGAAGCATCAAGCTTAGAAAACCGTGTTTTGAAACAGCTTCAGTGTCGACACATGAAAGCAATAGGTAGATATGAAAATTCAGGGAGTAACTTGCAGGATCTTTTAGCAAGGCATTATGATGAAGTGAGATCTTTAAGGAAACTCCTGAGGATGTCTCAGGAGGATGAGAGAAATACATCCAGGAAGCTCAGAAAAGTTGAAGCAGAGCTGCTAAAAGCTAAAGATGCTTTGCAGGCCTTGCATCTGATTTCAGAAGACAAAGCTCTTGCAGAGAGAGAGGAACTTAATCACAGATTATCAGTCCTTACAGAAAAAATGGAAGTGAATGATAAAAGAATACAGGTAATATATGCATATCATTGAATTTGTGGAACAATAACAGGAGAGCTTTCTGTGCAAGAGTAGTGGAAAGTTTTTAGCTGCTTCTTGTCACATTAATGATTCTGATACAGTCCTGTAACACTGAACTTTCTTTCTTATTCAGAGCTCTCCTGAGTGTAAGGTACTAAAAATGTCAGTAGCATCCCCATCCAATATTTTAAAATCTGGCAGAAATGTATGAATGGATTAAGTTTGGCAATAAAGAACTTTTAGGAATTAAGTCATATGCCTTAACCCTGTTAGGTCAGCAGCGTAGCATATAGCTAGAGAGCAATCTTCAGCAGAACGTCTGCTCTGCTCCCAGCCAGCATCATGAGGTACCCAGGCTTGCTTGGGCCACCTAGCCACAATAGCATGGACCCAGATTTACCCTGGCAAAGCACAGGATTAGTCATACATGGAGACCGCCAGGCTGCTGCTGTTCTGCTACCTTGAACAACCAAAGCTGGCTTACCTGGAACTAGCACTGTTATTTTTACATGGTGCTGGTGGGCAGTATGGCCATACCTCTATCTCCTATTCACTGATTACTGTCACTCGCAATACTTGGCTGTAGGGTGACTGCTGAATTAGGCAGCTGTCAGGTGTCCCAGTTTTTAGGGTTGGTTCTACCGTTGGTTTAGTATGCAACTGTGGTAAAAGCCTGGTGGGAGTTTAAGAGGAGATAATTCAGCTCCTTCTAATATCTCATGCTTCTTTACTCTTATTGAACCTTTCCCAAAAAGGCAGAAATACAGTTTTTAATACAAAACGGGAAGAGAAAGACTTTCATTGTTCTCCAGGAATTTATTTCTATTTTCTGTGGGGTATGTTATACATAGAATTAAATAAAGAGCCAGGTAATCTTAGAGGCATTTCACCATCTGAACATCTAGGTCTGTGGTACATTTATTACATGAAAGAAAATGAAAATATAAACAGCTGAATTCAGACTCTCTTTTGAAAACTGTCTATTTACAGAAGTCCTAGTGAGAAGCTATAAAAAGCTTGCAGGATTGGGTGTCCACCTTACAATTTTAGTAACTATCGTTTCAGTGCATTGCACTGGGTTCTGATGATAAAGTACTTGCTAAAGTACTCAATAAATTACCTAGTTTTTATTTACACTAAGCCTTCTTATGCTGCCACAGTTGATAGATCTCACTGTGAACAGAAATGTTGTCTTAACATTTCTGAAAGCTTATTGTATTCATTAATCCATCAAAAAGGTAGTGTACAGCCTTATTTTTCATGTTTGAATGCCAAATATACTTTTTTGTTTAGTAAAATTAGGTTTTAAACCAGGTTTTGCTCATTTTTAAAGTAATTTTTTAGCTGCTTCATCATAATGTCATGCATTGTTTAAAATAGAATATAATTATTAGAAGTTTACTTTTCATTATATTAGCATGCTTATTTTTTAGCTTTGGTAAGAACTGTAATTTTCAACAGTCATACTGGATACATCCATATTGTAAAATATATAATTTTTTTAAGAGCCTAGAAAAGCAGCTGAAGTTGAACAATAACATCTTTAGTCGTCAGTTGGCAAATGAGAACAAAAAAGCTGTGGAAGCTGGGATAATTACAAAGAACTTGCAAATGGAAATTAACTCTCTTCACCAAAAAATTAAGGTATTCAAGATTTTAAATGGGTTTCTCTTCCTACAAGAAGATTCAAATATTTAATGTTATTCATTCCTTTTGCCTCTTTTATATTATTTAGTAATGGAATTTTTGTTTCCTTGTTGAGTCTATAATCTACCAAAAGTCAAAATATAAAATGATGGAATTGTTGTAGGGTCTATTTGTCAAAAGTTCAAAGTAGTTCAATAACTAATCAAAATGGAGATTAATGCATCACAATTTCAACAAATAATCCCCACTAACTTGTTACCATTTTGATAGATCTAGGTCAACACATTCATCTACTGACTTTAAATGAACTCCCTTATAGAAACACTTTCAAATCAAAATGAGCCAAATAGTACAATCTACAAAGCTAGGGTTTAACAAAAAGACTTATGCAAATGTTTCAATAGTTTGTTTCAAATTCCAGCTTGGTTTTTAGACAAATATTTTCAGGTCAAGTAAGTCCTGTTCAACACTGACTGAATGCTTGTAGACCAAACATACAAATGACACTACATAGAAATAGAAACAAAACTGCCATGAATGGTATGTCATATGAGTTATAATCAAGAAAAACAGAACATATTCCAGAAAATGTGAAAATCCTTGTGGCTTTTTGATAATTTAAACTGTGTAACACAGTTAAAATATACTTTTTTTTAATCTCTGTATGAAGTGACCAATCCATCTGTTGATTCCATTAGGGAGCTTTCTCTTTCTAAATGGAATCAAATGTCTGTGAAAGATGTCGTTATGGGGAGTTTTCCCAGAGCAGGCGACTACTGAGGATTCATGGAGATCTGCATTTCTGTACTGGGCACTGTTTGTCCCTCTCACCTATGTATCAGGTGCAGAAACTTTCCTCCTGATATTTGGCAGCAGCCAAAGCCCAGTCAGCTGTTGGGAAAGGAGAAAAGTAGAGTGCTCTTCCTGGACCCTGCATCAAAGTCCCCCCAGCAGCACTTGCAGTGCTGTTTCCCTGCCAGAGTCTGATCTTCTCTTCTCTGTGCAGATCTGGGAGACAGGAATAATTATAGTTATTTAATTATAATTATATATAGTATGTTATATATATAATTATATATCATTATAATTATAGAACACTAAGGTAAAACTGTTCCAAAATCCAAGTTATTCTAAAGCACAGTTCTCACCTTAACGCTTCTCCAAAATATTTCTATTTCATGTGTTTTCTGCGCAGTTTTCTATGTGTGTCCAGTTCTCTTAATGTTATGTTTTGATTCAGAAAACCTTCTATTGTTTTAGCACAAAGAGGACCAGACATGCTTATTAACCTTATTTCTGTGCCAGAACAGAGTTTATTTTTACACAGTGATAGTTTTGGGCACCTGGTTTAGTCAGACCATTCACGGTATTCAGATGCACAATTCCCTTTCAGGTCAACCTGTATCTCCAAATGAAATGCAGCTCCTATTTTTCACACAAAAAATTGATATGGTGTGTTTAAAATAGATTTCAGTAAGGAAAAAAGGACTCTTGCTAAATACATTTTTAAAGTGTGCCTCTGAAGTTTATGTATGTCCTCTCCCAAGCAATAGGTTGTAAACCAGAACTGAATACATTGTAATCAAGGGCACTGAGCAAATTAAAAAAAAAATTCAAAAGGAAGTAAAGCCAAAAATTACTTAGTCTGGAAAAAATAACTAAGAACAACAAATAAAAAAATCATTAGAGAAGGCTTCATCTTTTGACCATTGTGTTATGAAAAGGACATTGTAGGTATGCTCTTAGCCTTAAAAAGGGAGAATTTTGATTTGGCTCTTGAAAGAAAATGACAGATTCATATTTATATAAATGACAAAGTCACCACATGGCCTAGCACAAAGCAAAATTGCTGACCGTTTTCTCCCAATATGGAAAAATTAAGTTGGTAAAGGTAATTCTTAATGCATATTAGAAGTTTAATAGTGTTTATTTCTTCTTAGGAAAAGGATCGACAGCTTTATGTAAAAAATATCTATGCAAACCGGATGCGTAAAATCCCAAGTGACAAAGGTGATTCAGAACCTCCTGAAAAAAGTACGTGTATATTCATTTTCCTTTACTGTTTAATTATGTGAAACTTACATTGTTTTATAGCTGGGACATATATTCTAAAATAAAAGCCAATGTAGTGCTTTTATATGGGCTAAAAATATTCTGGCACATATAAAGAGAATATAAAGAGAAGTGCTTGCTGTTTTGCTCATTTATTTATGACTACAAATACATGACCTGTTTTTAATATTTAACCCAAATTTCATCTTTAATAGCATTTAGTATAACAGTTTTAGTATACTAACAGTGACATTGAAGTAGTGCTGCTATTTTAAGAGTCTATTTTCATCAAGAGCTGTTTGCCTGTTTGTTTTTTAACAGGGTGAAGCTATCAGTCCACAAAGCTTTTGCAGACTAATTTTTGTTCAGGCTGTTCCTTTTGACTTGGCCTGAAGAAGTGGCCACCCTAGACTTAGTATTCCCACAACATGTCTCACTAACTCAAAGCACCCCACAAACAACCTAGTTTTAGTACAGACTTTCAACTTGCTTTTATATGACCAAAAATAATTAATTTAACTGGGTCTTTAAAAACTGTTTTCTCATCTTTAAAATCCTTAGAGCCTGTAACTTATAAATAGCAGAGATGCTTCGATGCCCATTATTGAAGCTTCTGCAACTTGCATTTTTGTTGGGGTGAAAGGAGAAGAGGAATTTTCAGATACAAGGTTTAAGAAACTTAAAGGCCAGTCTGATGATCATACTGTCAGCTTATCTGAGAGAAGAGAATGTTTGTCCTTAGCAGTCCTTTGGTTTTTAGCTAAATAAATCTAAATGGGCAACCAGAGATCATAATAACTCGGTTTTATTGTATATACTCTCAATTACTTCCATCCACAGAATTGATGTTACTTAGAATAATACAGTAGAATGATAGAAAGGAACAATAGGAAGTTAATCATATCAAAAAAGAAATTGCTCCTTAGTAAAGAGTATTTCTTTCACATGGGTGCTCAGACAGGTATCTGAGAGAAATATCTATTATATGCCATCTTGTCTGTCAACCATTCCAAGAGCAGCTACCTTGTGTGGGATTCAGCTGCCTAATTATAGGCATCTACTGCCATTTGAGATGCTCTAGCACATTCTGCCTGGCCCTGTAGTTGTTGTTGCAGAAGGACATGGGTGTCCCATCAGTCCTGTGTAATATTGGCCAGCCTTATGTGGATACCTTGAATATATGAGGGCATCTCAAATAGCAGTAGGCGCCTGTGTTCAGACAAGTGGATCCCACCCCTTGAACTGAGGGAGCAACAGCTAAAACCAATTATGAATCATACAAGCCAAGAACTGTTACGTTGCCCACATGCTCACTATATTCATCCGAGACAAAAATGTTGAAAAAGATAAGTTTTCTTGAAGCACTTAAAAATTTCTAGTTGTCACATGCTTTAGATGTAGTAGCTAGAATCTACTAATAAATGTGTTTTACACAGAAACTAATGAACAGATTTCAAGTACTTTCCCCATATTGAAAGTAATATTTTGCCTCCTACTCAGGATCATAAACATTCTGTCAGTATTCTAAAGGACAGCTTTCTGCACAACAAACTTACACCCTTAATTTTGGATAACAATCTGGATAAAAATTGACTTTCCTGGCTTAAGTACCTCTTTAAAATACTCATCAGATATTCTTGCTCCTAAACCGATGGAGGAATTGGAACTTTCTTCAGATGAGTACAGAAGAGCACTTACAATTTACATGGTAGCAAACATATTTGCTGGAAAAATTGCACATGCCCACAGAATTCTACAAATTATGGTATCAGTGCGAAGTCTTATTGTAGTCAGTTGCTTATGTCTTTCCTCTTTGTTGCCTTTGCAAAATCCCGTACACTGCCTTAACTACAAGTGAACTACAAGGAAGAGGTTGGTAATTGGAGTTGTAAAATTAAGAAAGACAAATTCCTACTTCTCACTCCAAGTCAGATACGTTTTTTTATGAAGCTCTGAGTTCCAATTTTAGTTACATCACATAACCAGCTGTGGGTTTTTTTACTTTTTACTCAGGTATGGATTTGTACAATATTGTTATTTAAATTACAGTACTTAATCGCTGTTTACTGTTTAAGTTCTTTTCTTTAGGCAAGGTAAGGGAGCTTAGTTGGAAAAAGACCTTATATTTTGTAATGAAAAGGTTCTAAGCAAAGTTGTCTGATCTTTTTGCTATTTTTGGCCAATAAAAGTCTCATTCTTAGATTTAGAAATCTAGAACTGGAATTACTGGAAATTGTTTTTCCTTTTCACTATTGACTTGAATGTTCCTGTAGCAGACATAGAAAGACCTGCTTCTTCAAGTAGTTGTTTTCTATTCTGCATTTGCAAAAATTTTTACCCAGCAGGGAAGAAAAAAAGAAAGGTGGAGCTGCATTTTTTCACACTCCTGATAAATAGCTGAAGGTAGGTTTGCTTAGGGTATCAGAAAGCTCTATGTACGTAAATGAAATTGATTTATTAAATGAAGCCATTAATTTCATAAGCTCTCCATGAGAGCAAAGTTTGCCGTTGTGGGGAGGTCACAGAGGCTCATCCAGCGGTACAGCTCCCCCTAGCCCTGAACCCGGGGAACGCTCTGCTGATGGCTGCTGAAAAAGCTGCTGGAAGAACTACTTCTGGTTCCCTTTCGGAAGGGAAAACAAATTCCCTCCACATCATCAGGGCCACTCCTTCAGGAGTAATCCTCAAATTAGTTATCAACGTCCTTTTTGCCACCAAACTGCAAACATGTGAAAATCACTATTTTTATGGGTAGTCTTCCTCTGATTTCAGGGATCAGAACTGGGAAAGAGGTCAAATGTTGATGTAGGTAAGAGCACATTTTTGCTGCTGGGCTAGCAACTTTCTCAGCTACTGTACTCACGTCAAAATTATTCTAAAAACAGAATAAAAGAACAATATACTGGCCTCCCCCATCCCATCTCTGTTCAGCTATTTCTTTAAATGTCTCATTCAGTCACTCCCTTGGAATCTCTTTTCAAAGAGCACAGATATTTCGAACAGTGTTAAGCGTTTCCTCTGAAGAGTTTGGTTCCATAAAGCCCTTACATAAGTGCTTAACTTTGAGAAAGGTGAGTAACCAAGTCAGAAGGCATAAAAGCAAGCATGTTAATTATACTCTGTAAGATCCGAATTTAGGAACCGGAAAGCTGAGGCCTCATACCAGGCCTCTTAAATTTACATTAGAATGTTACCACGCAAATTAAGCCCACAGGGGGTTTCTGGCATGGACACATTTGTCTGACTTCACACGTTCTATCTGGGCAGGACTTTGTAGATCTAAAACTTAAGTACATTTTTGATGTACAGATGAAAATGCTGAAAAGTCTAGGTCACTTTTTGCGTTCCAGTCTCAGCATTTGTAGATCAGGCAGAAAAAAGAATTTCTTTATTAAAGGGTATCAAGACATGCAGCAAAAAAACCCCAACATTTAAATCCTAGGCCACACACCAGGAGTATCAGTCATGAAAGATATCTTTTGTTTATACCAACAATATAATTCCAGAAACTACTGTATTACTATCGATTGTCCTTTTTCAACAGGTCTTGGTATAAACAGGTCAGTACAAGTAGATAAACAGAGGTTTAGATCACTGCTGCTGTCACAGTACCAAACTCAGGAAACAGAAGAAAGTCCCATTCAGCTAACAAAGGTAGGAAAGATCCGGACCCAGTGTCTTGTTTAAACTCTCGGCTAAACTGTGTGCTATTCTGCAAGTTTCAGTAACATGCCCGAATAGCCTGATCCCTCATCTTAGCTTTCTAGGATGTGGATTTTCTGTGAATGTAATTATATTACAGAAAATATGTAGGACAAACGCTGTGATACAAAATAAGAATATAATAGTAATAGAAATTACTAATCATTTTGGAAGTACTGCGCTGTGTACTTCTAAAAGTCACTAAACAAGTATTCCCTTGTTAATTTTACTTTTAATTGCCAATTACAGGAGAAAAAGTCTTCCGAAGATAAGAGTCAAAAAGCTGAAGCAAATGAGGCAGATGCAGATGCCCAATGTAGGGCAGAAAAGCAATCAACCAAGAAAATACCAAAGCCAGAAACTTTTAATAGAACACGTAGAGGTATATTTTAACATTTTTCTCAGAAACTCTTTTGATCTTTTCAAAAGTTGAACGAAACAATGGTATTGGTAATTTACACGGGTCTGACAGCCATTCACTGACTGACAGGAACCAGTTCAACAATTAAGCATCACTCAGATGCAGCTGCTGGCGGTGCTGCGCTGGCAGCAGAGCAGCTCCACAGTGTAAGGCATTTTCACGCTGCTGTACTTCTAAGAGGAGGTCCTGGTCACCTTGGTAAGAAGTCAGTGCTTTATCCAGGAAGGCATACTTCAGTTAGTGGTTTGTTACTTCCTCACTAATCAAATACTGGTCTCAAATTGTTGGTTGTGAATCTTCATCATAGCTGATGCCAACATATACTTCTGGCTCAGGATCTATTGCTGAGAAAGAAAAAGGACTTCTTTGAGGGCTGGGAGTATTTCCTCATCACAGCGATCACTGCAAATAGATTTTATGTAAATCTTCGCCATTGGCTGTGTTCTCATGTAACAGTTACATGCAAAGGACTCCTCTATAAACACCTTTATTTTGAAGAGATCCTGTAGAATGAGAAGAAGCAGCCAATGCATCAAATTCTTTATCTGAGTTTTTCTTCCTAGAAATATTCACGTTATTTTCATTATAGTGAGGACTGTAGAAAGAACCCAGATCTGAACACCATCATGCTAAATACTTAACAGATGCTAGAAGACATGACGTGACCTAAAGGTCACGCATTTACAGAGGTGAAACAGGCTGCTGAGGTCACTTACTAGATCAGCAACAGGGCAAGTAATCTGGAATGCGTTAACTCCTGTATTTTGTACTGCGCCTTTTCAGCCTGCAGCCCTCCCAGACCCCACCAGATAACCAAAGTCAGCATTTCTCTTTGAAATCCCCATTTAAAATTGACAGAAAACACAGGTCTTCTGATTCTGCCTGTGAATCTCTCTTCAGTGTTTGGCAGGCTCTTTTCTGGCTTTCTCCCACTGCTGATACCAGACTTACTTACCGAAGCCTTATTTAGCTATTTTAATGATTGCAACTGGCATACTTCTCCCTTAAGCTTGGGCTCTACCTCATCTTGGGGGTAACTCTGAGTCTCTCCAAAGCGCAGAACCTATTTGCCCCCTGGAGCAGACAAATGTATTTACTGCAGGCATTCCTACTAAAAACTGCAGCCAACTCACTTATAGGTTAGAGAGTTGCAGTATATTCTGCTCCACGCAACAAGTGACTGTATTGTCAGTTAAGGGAGAGAAAATCATTCACATACTTAAGTTCCATTTAAAAGCAGGAAAATTACAACTAGAGATTAGATCTCATGTGGTTTCTCTGTTGCATTGTACATTACTTTTCTGGCCCTATATTTAGCCATTACATGCCAATTCATTTGATAAAATTAAACATAATGAAAAAGGTAAAAATATTTACCTGGATTCGATGGCACAACGATCTTGTTTAAATCTTGCCCCATCCTGTTATATTTATTAGTAAATAGCATTGTCATAACCCTCAGGACTGAAACACCATCAATAGTAACATCTTAGGCAATGAAATAAGGAAGTAAGGCTTGCTCTCATTAATGCTTCGCGACTCTTTATGTTCCTAGGCAATTTAAGAGTATTCCTAAAACATACAATATTTCATTTTAGAGTATTTGAGGGAGGGCAGACTGCTGATGGAAGAACACACTTGCTTGGAATTTATGAAGGAAGAAAAGGAGAGAGATTTGCTTAAACGGGAGCTGGAAACACTGATGAAAACTGAACAAACTCCTCCAAGTGGCAGTGTAAAAGAGAACAATAAAGAGGAAGGTGCAGTGGAAGAAAATGAAAAAGAAGAAAAAAAGCCAGATGAAGAGCTGAATAATGGTGGTAAGTCAGGGAGCAAACGTGTAACCCCCAGTCCAAGAAACAAAACATTCATTGGGCTGAAAAATAAATACATATTCTCAGAAGCCACGGAGAATTTGCATCATGGGCTTCCTACGTCAGGTGCAAAACCCAAAAAAGGCAGTCTTTGCAACCATCGATGTGCAGGTCAGGACCGCAGTGAGACAGCTGAATCCAAAGTGAAAAATGCCTTTGAAAATATGAAATATGAACCGTCTTCTGGTAGAGTCGCCGAAACAAGGCGGAAGGCCAGTTCCACTGAAGCGGAAGGCTGCGCTTGTATGACATTTGCTGACAGAAAAAACAGTCTCACGAAAGAACTCTTTGGACCAGGCTGTGTTTAAAGAGATGACCGTTCAAGTTCTGACATGGGAGGAATGAAGAACGAGAAGTGAAGGGATGCAGGATTGCACAAGCCAAATTTCAAACCACTGCTACTAACTAGTTCTTAACCTAAAGCACCTAATGCTAACGAAATGGTCATGTGAATTAATAATGATTTTCTTTGATCCTTAGTGAAGCACATCAACTTATCTTTACTCTAGAAATATGGATCGTTTAAAACATTTTTTAAAAAAACCACGGTTTTACTTCCATTAAATGCATATTAAATCTTGGCAGTACTGAGAATTTCTTTCGATGTTTTTTCCAAAATGACAGTCAAACCAGTTGTCACAAAGGAATGGTCTTCTGGTGTCAGTCCATGTGAGTGTGTGTGCATGCATCTAAGAGTGCCTTAACAATTACATTTCGGCCTGTTCCCAGGTGTCCAAGCTTGTCCTTCTTTTGTAATTTCCATTTTTTTTGCATTCTCTCTGCAGTTTAAATTTTGAAGCTGATTATTCGTTAGCTAGCTGGAGCGAGCAGCCTGCTTTCACGAGGTTCATTATTGGGTTAGTACCAACAATGCAATAAAATAATTTTTTATTTTCTTCACTCCTGAAATAGCTTCCAGAATTCACACATAATAAAAATAATTCGCTAATTACATTGTGTTCACTAGCATGATAAAGCTCTAAAGCTTCATTCTTTTCCACTGTTAGAACTTATCAAAGCAGTTTGCCTGGTAACTTCCACGGCTGACATCCAAAGATGAATGTGCAAGAGTAAATGATTGTTTTGGAGAAGTCAGGCATATCCAGCTCTCAAAAAGCCTTTAAAAAGTCCTGTGTTTAAGGTTACATAAGTGAGGGTAGGAGGACTGCGTTTTGTTCCTCATAATAGTTTGTGAAACATTTGCTAGAACGTGAATTTAGGAGAAACTATGCATATTCTATTAATTTTAAGACAGTAGCACTGAAAAAAGAAAAGCAAACTTCAAAAAATTATACCACAAAAGGTAGTTAAGACCTTTAGATCTGAACCTCCTTGCAGCATATTTCTTTTCAAAATTTCCAAGGTTTTTCTTGAAGGTAGTGCTTCAGCTGCACAGCCGACAGGTTTCACAGAACGACTCTGTGTAGCCAGAAGAGGAGGTGTTCCTCCCCCACGAGCAGTCCGTAGGTACTGAGACAGAGCCTCTCCTGCCATCCCAGAGGCAAGAGCAAACAAGCATGCGTAACCCAACACTGTTTGTGCCGACCAGGTGACCCAAAGCCTTTTTGCCCTTACTCACCCAAATGTTTGACTACAGCAGCCAACGAGCCACGTACTTGATGGCCCCATGCTATGCCGGGACGAACAGCAAATGCCACTGTGAAGATTTTAAATTACGCCGCTTTTCTGGACTCCATGGTGCTAAAACTCCCTAACAAGCTAAGTAGAAACATCGTTAGCCACATCCTTAGATTCAGAAATGTGTCAATGTCATAGCTAAATAATCTGTCCCAAATACTTTAAAAAATAATAATAAATTAGGCCTGTTGATTCCAACAGCATCTCCTTTATGCAAGAGCATGGGGGGTGGGGTGTCAGTTTGGGTTTTGGGGTTTTTTTTTTGGTGTGTTTTTTGTTTGTTTGTTTGTTTTTGTTTGTTTGGGGTTTTTTTTGGAAAACTGTCATTAACATGGAAAAATATATTAGAAAACTTGAGATGGGTTGAAGAACTTTATTTTGTTAATAAAAACACCATTATACATAACATTCAATCACAACATTTTTTTCTTGATATTTAGTGCATGTATTTTCACGTTGGCTAAGTGTAATCCCTAATATAAACCCTTTTTTTTTTTAAATTTACATTAAAGAAAAAAATTCATGCATATATACATACACAGACAGATGATTTATCATGACCTTTCAGACAGATTTCTAAATGCAGTGCTAATCACGGAGGGGCCCTTGCCCCTTCCTGCAGGAAGGCAAAGGACCTGAAATAACAGAAGAGATGCATTCCACCCTACAGAGCAGGAAGCTGAACCAGGATCACCAGAGCCCAGCAGAAGAGGCAAAGGTGTCCCCCAGAGCTTTGTGCAGGCTCAGGTCAAAAAAACCCAAAACCAACAACAACAAAAGGGTGGAGCAGAACAAGAACTTCCTAAAGGACCCACTTGCCTTGCAGGGCAGCACTGCGGGTTGCGGACCCCGCCGCAGCACAGAAGAACACGCAACTTTGTTGCTGTTCTGCAGGCACGGCACTAGGAAGAACTCTCTCCGCCTTTAAATTCAAAACACTGCGGCTGTCTCCTGTACCTAAATACAGCAAGAAGGATTTACTCCGAAAGAGAAGGCTCTTTTCCCTCCTCCTCCTGCCTGCTACCATTCTGTTACCACTGCAGACATGTAAATCACGAATTTGCCTTTCTTCCATTTGCATTGCTGTTTCAGGTGATCCCGGACTGCCAGTAACGTGTGCTAAGGCCCTTCGAAACACTGTCCTCCCAGGGAACAGCACTGGCTCCTGCTTCCTCGTTCTTAACATGGAGCTTGAGGAGGCCGGCCAGGCCTTCCCTCCCAAAACACGGAAGGAAATCATTCCAGCTATCTCCACTCAGTCGGGCGAGCAGAAAAACCATCAAGGAAGGAGAGGTCAGTTATCAACAGAAGTAGGGAAAAATTCAAGTGTTCAATGCCTTTTAAAACTCAGAAAAAGCAGCCAGACATCCTCTATTTGGCAACAGAGGGGGTCTCTTAAGGACTGATTCCACGTACATATCAATAGCACATTTTCCGAGACAGCCCAAGAGCACACCAATCCTAGTGTAAAAAAAATAACAAGGAGGGAACTAATTCTGTTTCACCCTCAGCCAACCAAACCACCTACCTCTATCCACCAGTACCACTTGTCACCAACGATAATCCCACCTTCGGGTGAAACTGCCATACTACACAGCAAAGAAGCAGCAAAGCTCCCAAATTAATTCCTAATGCCAGTGCATTTCCAAGTTAAAAATATAAATCCAACACTTTCATATTTTGGTGAGTATACGCCATGGCAAAGTCTTACGGTTTTGCTGGGAATCAGTGTTCATGCTTGTTGAAATGGACACAAAATGAGGTTCTATAAGCAGCAATGCTGTTCTTCAAAAACTGACCACCAAACTGAAAGACAAACTAAGGAAAGTTAAAATAAATTGTAAGGAATGAAAACGTAGCTGACTCCTCCATGGATGACTGGGATTCCTTCAGCTGAAGGGGTGTAGCATGATAGCTACAACTTTATTGCAAACCACGAGCCAACATGTAATTCCAACACCACCTGAAAGAGACATAAAACATGATTTAAGTCACTGCATCAGTAACCCTGAAGCACACAAGCTTCTGAAAACAACTTTGGCAGTGTAAAAAATGAAACGTAGAACAAGTTACAAGGCGAACAGGAACAAAACATCTTTCTTTTTATAGACAAACGTCTCTCTTTGAGGGATGGCACCTAACTCCATGACAGTCCCGAGAAAACCTGAAGATTACCTGGGGAGTACCAAATAACACAAATATGAGCCAAAGTGCGGTATACAGAACCCACAGCTTCTGAAAACGTTTGCTATGTACCCAACAGAAAATGCCTAAGGCACGGCAAGTTACAGAATACTCTGCTAGATCCTGAATCCAAGATTTGAGATAGATAAAAAGTAAATTTCCTCTGAAATTTACATCAGTCTTTTTATTAAATCCATACTTCTTTCCTCTTGCCCCCTGTACAGATATATAGAAAAACGCTACCGAGAGCTTTGCTACTGACCCAGATGCCTTGTGCTGCGGTCTTAGAAGGGTCCTGTCACTCAAACCAGCAGCAGAAAAATTTGTATTGGTATGACGGAATAGAGGGTGTGGCCTGACTGCAATACACAGCACTTCCACACTGCAGACTCCACGGAATCAGGCTACACAGTATTGCGGAATGAACAGATCTTCAGACCACATGCGTGAAAAAACTACCTTTTGGGGGATTTTTGGACATTTTTGTGTTTGTCACCTAGAATTCAAAAGCGATCTCTTTACCGTGATTATCAGCCAAGGAAGGGGAAAAAAAAAAAAAAAAAAGACAAAAAGAGATTTGAAGGCAGACATGAGTGTGAACCTTTTCAAATCTCTTCAAATGCTACTTAAATAAATGCCTTCCAAGGACTGTTCCCCCACTCTTGTACAGAAGCAGACTGTTCTCTTGTCCAGTAAGCCTGAGGGATACAAATCATTCTCAAGGCAGCTGTTAAAGACAGAACATACAATTCCAACAATGTATTTTGGAATTCCTTCTAAGGCAGCTGGGACTTAGGAGCCTAACATGAGGATGACACGAAGATAGGTGGGAGCGTTGATCTGCTCGAGGGAAGGAGGGCTCTGCAGAGGGACCTGGACAGGCTGGATCGATGGGCTGAGGCCAACTGTATGAGGTTCAAGAAAGCCAAGTGCCGGGTCCTGCCCTTGGGTCACAAGAACCCCATGCAACGGTACAGGCTTGGGGAGGAGTGGCTGGAAAGCTGCTTGGCAGAGAGGGATCTGGGGGTGCTGGTTGACAGCAGTGTGCCCAGGTGGCCAAGAAGGCCAACAGCATCCTGGCTTGTATCAGAAATAGTGTGGGCAACAGGAGCAGGGAAGTCATCCTTCCCCTGTACTCGGTGCTGGTGAGGCCATACCTCAAATACTGTGTTCAGTTTTGGGCCCCTCACTACAA